GAACATAAAGTTATTGGCAATTTCTTTTTTTTTTTTTTTTTTTGAGCACGGCAGCTCGCTTCTGCGCCAGGCTGGGTGCAGTGCCGGATCTCAGTGCTCGTCAATGCAATGCTCTGTGTTCCTCCCGGGTGGACGCCCATTCTCCTGCCCACTGCCTTCAAGTAGCTGGACTACAAGGCATCCACCACCACGCCAGCTAGTTTTTTTGTGGTTTTTTTAGTAGAGACGGGGGTTTCACCGTGTTTGCCCAGAATTGGTCTCGGATCCTGACCCTCGGTGATCACCTTCCGCCTCCCAAAGGCTGGGATTACACACTTGAGCCACCGCGCCCGGCCAAGTACGTTGATTTCTTTATTACTACTAGCGATATTACTGTCCAGGAGGTGAGAGTGGTGAAGGCCTCCCCATGGCTGTGGACGGGGACCTCGATGTCATGCAGCTGGTTCCAGGGGCAGTCCCAGCCCACACTGCAAAGGCAGGGGGACCAGGGCCCCTTCTGATGCCAGGGCAAGAGGACGGGGCCCAGGCCATGGTGGGGCCTTCTCCGGGACCTCCCTTCACCCCCGGCCTGCAGCGGTCATTGAGGCACCAGGTTGGTGCCTCAGTGTCAAAAAACTGAGAAGCAAAAGGGGCATTTGTGTGCATGTTTGCATTTGGGTGGGGGTGAGAGAGAAAAGCCACAGGCATCCCCAGCCCAGGGTCCTGGGGTCCCAGGGGCTCTCTGCAGTCAGCACCAGGGAGGCCACGCTGTCTCTCCACGTGGGTCACTTCCTGCACAGCCTGGCCACGCCAGCTCACAGGAAGTGGGGGGAAGCGCCAGGGCGAAGCCAGCCCAGGCCGTCTACTCCTGGGAGGCCACCTCTAAAGTCCTGTTTGGGCTGCTAGGGCTTGTGGGTTTCATGTGCGCCGTCTCCTGGGGTCCCTCTACGCACACGGGAGGGACCAAGGGGATTGCGGCCCCACACTCCTGTCTGCACGCACACTTGTGTGCACCCACACTCTCGTGTGCACCTACAGTCTCGTCTGCATGCGTGTGTCATACGTGCGGACATCACATGTCACACTCATGAGGCCGCGGGGAGAACGTTCTGGCACTTCAGGCAAAACGTTCTCGACTTGACGCAGAGGCACCATGAGCCGCCAGACCCTGATTGTTCCTCAGCGTCCACACGGGCAGCGGCGTGACTTTAAACTTGGCAGCCACCCTCCGCAGAGTTCAAGGTGATTTGCAGTCAATTTGTACATTTTTTTAAACAGCGACGATACTTTGGGAAGCGGTTTAGCCTCCCCTGGTGCCTCATTGGCGGAAAATCCTAACAGAGGGCCTCAGGTTTCCAGGGGTTTCCAGACCCTCCACAGACAGCTGAGCCTTCCCTGCAGGCCCTGCACGTGGGAGTGTCTTGTTCCCAGGGCTGTGCGACCTGCCTGTCCCCGGCATCCCAGCCTCTGTGCCCTCCCTGGGGCAGGCCCTCCCCTCTACCCTTCTCGCCTGTTGTCCCCAGCACCCCAGCCTCTGTGCCCTCCCTGGGGCAGGCCCTCCTCTCCACCCTTCTCCTGTGGTGTCCCCAGCACCACAGCCTCTGTGCCCTCCCTGGGGCAGGCCCTCCTCTCCACCCTTCTCCCGTGGTGTCCCCAGCACCACAGCCTCTGTGCCCTCCCTGGGGCAGGCCCTCCCCTCTACCCTTCTCGCCTGTTGTCCCCGGCACCCCAGTCTCTGTGCCCTCCCTGGGGCAGGCCCTCCCCTCCGCCTTTCTTCCCCCGTGTCCCCGGCATCCCAGCCTCTGTGCCCTCCCCTCTGCCTTTCTCCCACGGTGCCAGTTCCTCAGCCTTCAGAACCAGGTGCAGCATCGCCTCTTCCTGGAAGGTTCTCTGGCACTTGCTTGTGTCTGGGGCTGTCTGTGGGACTTTCTGCTCCACACCTAAGTCCAGGCACGTGGCTGTGCAGAGGGCAGGGCCAGGTAACTCACACCTGCAGCCCAGGCCTGGGGTCAGCCGACAGCCGATGATCTCAGATTCCACCAGTTCTCCAATTCTCTTCCTTTTTCTTTTCTCTTTCTTTTTTTTGGGGGGGGATGGAGTCTCGCTCTGTCACCTGGGCTGGAGTGCTGTGGCGCGATCTTGGCTCACTGCGACCCCTGGTTCAAGCGAATCTCCTGCCTCAGCCTCCCAAGCAGTTCTCCTTTCCTAAAAGAGTCTGTGTTGCCGCGCCTGTCTAGTAACCCATATGACGTTGGCGACCCTGCCCTCCCCTCTGCCGGCCCCTCCACCTAGCAGTCAGGTCTTCACCCCCAGGGGCTGCAGCAAGGAGGGGCCTGTGCCAGGGGCCAAGAGGCTTTTTTAAAAATAAAACGAGGATGTGGTGTAAAATAAAGGGCTGGGAGGCAAGGAGGGAAGGCAGAGGAGCCCCTCCCATCCCCCTTCCCCGCCAGCCCACCCACCTCTCCCCAAGGGCCACCCTTGTTCCCTCCAGAAAAGCTGTCTGCAGATCAGGCCACCTCTCAGGCAGGGATGTTCTGAAGCCATCCCTGAGGTCACACGGCCCTTACTAGACAACATGCACACACGAACACCCACCCCACGAATACGGAGAGGAATACACATGTACACATACACCCACACGTACACGACGAGTGCACACACACGGACACACCCGTGCACACACATGAATACACACATGCGCACATACACCCACATGTACACATGAGTGCACACACATACATGGACACACACCCATGCACATGCATGAATACACACACATACACACACATACACCCACATGTATACGTGAGTGCACACATACACACGGACACCCATGCACACATGAATACACACACGCATGAATACACATGCATACACCCACACGTACACGTAAGTGCACACACATAGTCATGGACACACCCATGCACATACCTGAATGCACACAAGCATTAATACACATGCACACATATACCTACATGTACATGTGAGTGCAGACATGGATACACACCCATGCACACACATGAATACACAGATACGAATACACACACACACATACACCCACATGTACACGTGAGTGGACACACATACACGGATATGCACACACATGAATACACACCCATGCACCCACATACACACATGCATGAATACACACGCACACATATACCCACATATACACGTGAATACACACATACACACGGATACACACCCATGCACACATGCACCTATGCACATGCATGAATACACACCCACGCACCACGTACACACATGCATGAATACACACGCACACATATACCCACATATACACGTGAATGCACACATGCACACGGATACACACCCATGCACACGTGCGCCCATGCACACACATGAATACACACCCATGCACCACGTACACACATGCATGCACACTCACATGCACACGTATACCCACATATACACGTGGATGCACACACACACGGATACACACCCATGCACATGCATGAATACACACCCATGCACCACGTACACACATGCATGCACACTCACATGCACCACGTACACACATGCATGCACACTCACATGCACCATGTACACACATGCATGCACACTCACATGCACCACGTACACACGTGCATGAATACACACCCATGCACCACATATACACGTGCATGAATACCCATGCACCACATATACACGTGCACACACATCACATGCACCACGTACACACGTGCATGCACACTCACATGCACCACGTACACACATGCACGCACACTCACATGCACACACCTGATGGATAGAGGACACCGTGACACTCCTGAGAGGCGAAGGTGGCAGGGAGTGGCCCAGGGAGGGCGAGGTTCTGACCCAGCTGACCAGCCACACAGACCACCAGGGCCCCCACCCACCCTGTGTCCAGCCCACGTGTCTGTTCATTCTCTGTGCTTCCCCCTCAGTGCCCCCACCTCCACGCTGCCCCCTCCACGCTCCCCCCTCCATGCTGCCTGTGGGGCTCCTGAAGGAGCTGTCCGTCCTCTGAGTTGAGGTCAGACTGGAGAACTCCTCAGATAGGCAGACCCAGGGCAGGAGGCCACCACCCACCAGTTCCCCCAGCCCCATCTTCTCCCCACCCCACACCCACGCCTCCTCCTGACAGCACCCCCAGCACACGGATCCTCATGCGGAAGTTTGCTTGTCTGCAGGTCGGCTGTCTCCCTTGGTGGCTTGCGGGCACAGGGACAAGAGAAGGGATCAGCTACCCCCAGGACTCCCAGGGTGCCAGGGCCGGTGCTGGGTGAGGACACCGCCCCTTCCTCCCTCCGCCCCTTCCCCGGGCTGACAGCCACACCCCCACCCCCACCCCATCCCGGCAGGCAGCGGGCGGCCCAGATGGCGGGGCCGCCTCCCCCAGGGCGCTCAGGGAGTTGCTGTTGGCAGCTTAGCTCCAGCAGCTGGGCGAGGAATGTGTTTCCTTTGTGTGCGGCCACGGGGTGAGCAGGCCCGGACATCTGGGTCCTATTTGCGGCCCTTTGGGGCGCAGGGAAGATTTTTCACTCCAGCCTCTGAGCTCACGGCTCTCCCCTAGCCTCTCCAGGCTTTGCTCGACACCCAGGGTGCTGTAGAAGCCCAGGCCCTGGGCGCTGTCCGCAGGGTGCAGGGCAGAGGGTTGGGGCACCTTTGATGGCAACTTTGATGGCCAAGGGCTGTGGGGTTAAGCCAGAGGTCAGGCCCAGAGTCACCCCGGTCGCTTTAAAAACACGTCAAGAGGCTGGGCGCAGTGGCTCACACCTGTAATCCCAGCACTTTGGGAGGCCCAGGCGGGTGGATGACGAGGTCTGGAGATCAAGACCATCCTGGCTAACACGGTGAAACCCCGTCTCTACTAAAAATACAAAAAATTAGCCGGACGTGGTGGTGGGCGTCTCTGAGGAGTCATCATATTTATTCCATTTGTCATTCTCATAAACGATGCTGTGATGAACATCCCTGTAGATCACCGTTTGTGCATATTTCCTAAGAATGCATTTCTGAGGGTGGAATTGCTGGTCCCAGTTGAGACCCCACCATGGAGGAATGAGTGCGGAGTAGCGGAGGGCAAGCGCAGCATTGGCGTCTGAGGCCTGGTTTGGCTAGAGATGAGATGGGTCACTTCTCTTCTCCAGCTTCCCAGTGTCCCCATCACCATCTGTGAAATTTCAGTGTTGGTCTCTCAGGTCCTTTGCAGCTCTGATATGTTGAGATTCTAAGTACTCATGTGTATCAGTCAGCTATCGCCGTGTAACAAGCTACCCTCAAAGCAACCACCATTCTTTGGCTCACAGTTCTTTAGGTTGGCAGTTTTGGCAAGCTCAGTGGGGTGGTGCTTCTCGGCATGGCTGGGTTTGCTGTTGGCTGCTCTGTGGTCAGCCATGGGTCAGTCCAGCTCCACCAAGTAGCTGGGCCAACCCTGTCCTGCGTGTGTCTCATCCTGAGCGTGTTCACGTGGGGGCTCCACAGAGGGCTAGTGGGGCTGCCCGCCGCTGACATCCAGGCTCAGGGTGTCTGACATCCCTTGTGCCACATCCTGCCCCCAGCCAAAGCAAGTCCCCCAGCCAGCCCACATCCAGGGGGCAGGGAAGTGGACCCCACCTCTCCACAGGAAGAGCTGCAATCACATCAAAAGGATAGGGGTTTGGCAGGGTGGGAAATCGAGGCCGTTAGCAGGAAACCCGCCTTGTGGAGAGGGCCCTGAATAGCCATGACCAGCATTCCCTGAGCTCCTGCTGCAGAACAGACTCAAGTAGCTCCTTAGTCCTCAGACACCCCCCCGGGAGGGGTGCTCTCCCACTTAATGGATGAGGGGAGCTGCCTGCTGGGCTCACACGGCGGAGGGGGCAGGCCTCGATTCAAGCGCAGCCCAGGCTCTGTCCTGCAGCAGCGAGCCACCCTGTTGAACCTGCAGAGGACGGGGCCGCCAGGGGAGGCACATGGGGGCTTTGCCCTTATGGGCCAGTCAGCAAACCTTTACGGGGCCCTGCCATGTGCCAGGTGCTATTCAGGGCCCTGCCCTGGGGGAGACGGGCGTAAACATGAGGACCAACACAGATGGAGGCTTCAGACACTGATGAGTGGCTGAAGAAGAAAAATGGGTGACGTGGCAGAGAGTGCGGAGGCGGGGATGTGGGGGCGGTCAGGGAAGGCTTCTCTGAGGAGGGACATTTGCGCCAGGACCTGAATGATGAGGAGACGGCTATGCAGAGATCGGGGAAGAATTCCAGCCAGAGTCAAGGCCCTGAGGCCGGCGGGAGGGACGGAAGCGCAGATGGCATGGCTGGCCAAGACTGGCGGAGAGACCCCCAGCCCACCTGTCCCCATCTGGCCCCAGGACACCCAGCACACTTTGTCCCACCTTCCGCATTTCTTTGGCAAACCCTGAGTTCACTTGCAGCGTGCAGCTATCCAGGGAGGCTCCTTGGTCCTCAAAAACCCATGAGGGAGGCTCCTTCTCTCCTTGGGAAAGGAAGAGGCAAGGCCAGGTCCACCTGGAGCCACACAGAGGGTGCAGAAGGCGTGGGTGGGCCCAGCCTGCAGACAGAGGCCGGCCTGTGCCCTCCCTTTCAACGGAGAGCCCTGGGCTGGGGTCTGGAGGGGAGTTTCAGTGAGATTTTTGTCTGATACGGTTTAGCAGCACATCTGTGACAGAAGGGACCTCTGCACCCAGGCCAGCCGTTCATGGTGGTGATGGCAGCCGGCAGGCAGTCCGGGTGCTGCCAGCCAACTCTGGGCAACAAAGCTTCCTCCACACGGCTGTGAGGGGGGAGGGGGTCTTCACTGTGCCCCAGAGCCTCTCCGGTTGGTCCCCTTCCCCAGCACTGATGCTCACTGTCACCCAGGCCAGCTGTGGGCACAGTGCCAAAGGCAAGCCCCACCTGGGCCAGCTCCACGAGGCCGTTGTGGCCGGACAGACGGCCTGAAGCATGACAGCTGGGTGGCTGGGACGAGTGGCAGGCACTCTGTTCTAGACGCTTTTCATGAGCTCATGCACTTCGTCCCTCCGTGATTCTGCGGGGTGAATTCCATCCCTATTCCCATTTCACAGATGAGAGAACTGAGGCCAGATCAGGAGACAGAAAAGCCAGCTCTGTTCCTGCAGGGAAAAGGCACCTGAAGTTCCCTTTCCCTCCCTGCCCTATCCTTCAGATCACGAGAAATGATGTCCGCGTGGCAGGGCCACGGAGGGCTTTTGAGTTTACAAAAGCCTTTTTTTTTTTTGAGACGGAGTCTCGCTCTGTTGCCCAGGCTGGAGTGCAGTGGCCGGATCTCAGCTCACTGCAAGCTCCGCCTCCCGGGTTCAGGCCATTCTCCTGCCTCAGCCTCCCGAATAGCTGGGACTACAGGCGCCCGCCACCGCGCTCGACTAGTTTTTTGTGTTTTTTAGTAGAGACGGGGTTTCACCGTGTTAGCCAGGATGGTCTCGATCTCCTGACCTCGTGATCTGCCCATCTCAGCCTCCCAAAGTGCTGGGTTTACAGGCCTGAGCCACCACGCCCGGCCACAAAAGCCTTTTTGTTCACTGTCTCAAATCACCCCACCCAAAGACGCAGCCCGTCTTACCCGAGGGGAGCCAGAGACACACGTTTGGGGATGGCGCCGACCCTGAGTTCACACAGTCGGTTCACACAGCAGCACGGGAGGCAAACTGGATTTCCTGCCGCCCCGCCCACTCTGTTGCCATGGCAACCCTGTGACCTCCGACATCATCACCCACAGGCCCTGGGGTCAGGGTCCCTTGTTCCTGTCCGCCGCGGGAAGGGCAGCAGGGGTGAGTTAGTGGGGCCAGAGGGAGGGTCCACCCTGGGTCAGGCCCACGAGGACCCGGAAAGGCCTGGGAGAGAAATGGGACTTGGCCCCTTGTCCCTGTGGGGCAGGAGGGTCCACCTAGACCGATGGCAGAGAAGGCACTGCTCGCCTGTGTTTATATGGCTACTTATTCGCCAGGCAGGAAGGCCGGATACAAGCCAGATGTGGAGGCAGCCACAGGGCAGCGCCTGAGGCTCTCTGACTGCCTCTGCCCACCCCAGATCCCCACACTCGGCACAGCCCTAGAGGCCGGGGGCAGGGGACGGGGGGCGGGGGAGGGAGCCGCCTCCTGGTCACCTGGATACAGGGTGGGGGTGGATGGGGGCACCCGCTGTCCTGGGGCCTGCCCACAAGGAGCCCCACGTCCCTTCACTTTGCCTCTGTCTTGGCCTGGGAGCCCCGGGTCTGATGCTGGTCAAAGACCTTCTCAGGGCCCTTCCCAGAGTCAGCACCAGGTTCTCCTCTGTTTCATATGCCCCTCAGGGGGGGACACAGAGACCCTGCTGCAAGGGCCGCCCTGCACTGCTCACGCCATCCACAGCTCACCCCACAGCTGTTCCTGAGGTGGGAGGGCATTGCCCGTCCCCAGGCCTTTGGATAACGGCGGCTCCGGAGGACACTGAGGCTGGGACTGTCCGGTCCTCAGTGGGCTGTGCCTTTCCGGGTTTTCTTGGTCACCACGCAGCAAGTGTTTGCGGAGTGCCTGCAGTGTGACACTGGTGTAGGCTGTGACCAATGCCGAGGAAGCTCTGCCCTCCTGGAGCTCACCGGGAGCATCCACAAGAGAAAAAAAGGAGCAGGACAGGCAGGTGGGCTCACCGGAAGAGCTACAGGGAGAGATGGTGACAGGAGGGGAGCCAGGGCAAGGACTGCGTGGGCTGCAGCATCACCGGGAAGCAGGCAGCCTGGGGCAAAGGCGTGAGGATAAGAGGCAGACTTGCGGGGACCTGGGGGAAGTGCATTCCCTGCAGAGACACCGCCATGCAAAGGCCCTGGGGCAGGTGCAGCCAGTGACCTAGGCCCAGCACAGGTGGGCGTGGGGGTAGTGCGGGTGGTGAGGCCAGAGGGGACAGCTGGTGAGGCCGGAGGGGACAGCCAGGCACCAAGCGAGGAACAGCCGGGCCACTCTGGCACTGGCCAAGGGGCCGGGGAGCCACCGTGTACTGCTCTTGGGAAATGTGTGGTGGACGGTGGCTTGCCCCTCTGGCTCTCCAGAAAGCCAAGTGTACGAGTTTACCTTGGCCTGGGCTCACTGCACTGGATGGCTGCCCGGCCAAGTAGAGGCTGGAATTCAGAGGCTGGGGCTCCATTCCCGGCCCTACCTCTCACTAGCTGCATGGCCGTGGCCAGTGACCTCAGGTGACCTCACCTCTCGGGGACAGCATGGGTGCGGGGTCGTCCATCTCCAGTACCGTGAGGAGGTCGGAGGGCGGCCGTGGACGGATGACTCTCAGGGTCTCCTCTTTGCACATCTGTGCTTTTCCCAGAGGAAGCTGTGGGACCCATGTGATTCTGAAGGAAAATAAGCAGCTGTTTAAAGCAGTGGCGTCCTCGGTCCCAGCCGCCGTTGGGGTCGCCTGGGATGCCGTGGTGTCCTCCGTCCCAGCCGCCGCTGGGGTCGCCCGGGATGCCGTGGCGTCCTCCGTCCCAGCCGCCGCTGGGGTCGCCCGGGATGCCGTGGCGTCCTCCGTCCCAGCCGCCGCTGGGGTTGCCCGGGATTTGCCAGTGAGTGTCGCGCGTGCATATTCACGTCACCCCCCACCCCCATTGCGCAGATGTGGACAGGGCTGCCCACCCAGGTTGCAGCGCCTGGAGCGTGAGCTCAGCCCCTTAATTCTACACTTTTTTGGAGGGGCCAACTGAGGCACAGCACTGTTCTGGGAACAGGGCCCATCCTGGACCTGTCCTGAGCGCCTCCAATCCCTCCCTGCACCACAGCACCAGGAAAGGCTTTGTGAGAGGCCTTGCTGGGCCTCTGAGGCTGGACTTTGGGGCATCCTGGGATGAGGGGTCGGCTGGGCTAACAGGAGGAGAGGCCTGGAGCTCCCGGGTTGGTTGCAGGCCATGTCCTCCTCCTCCCCTGCCTGTCTGTGGTCAGCTCCAGCAAGGGCAGAACCGGTGCCCCCCACTCCCCGGGAGCACGTCCCAAACCCACGGAGAGGATGGGCTCTAGAACCAGGCACCCTGGGCCCATGCCTCAGTTTCCCCACCTGACAGCCTCTAGACCTTTGGGGGCACGAAATGAGGTGATTTGCACAAAATGCTCAGGTCAAGCCTGGCACGCAGTAGGACGTCATCGCCGTGGCTGTGTCACCTGTGCAAAGCCCTCAAGGCAGGTCACCTGCCTTACCTGCCCAGCGTCCTATGCCCCAAGGCTTTTATGAGGGTCAAAGGACATTACAGCAGAAGCAGGGCCTGTTACTCCAGAGCTGACGAAGGTGCAAGGCGGGAAGGCTGGGAAGATGAGTTATTGCACTTGGTGGCCATGGGTCCTCCTCCCATGGAGGGTTCTGGAACCCCCGGACTGGGATGCCTGGGCTGTGGCCGTTTCCCAGCTGGGCAGGGCGGGCTGCGTGCCCCAGGCAGACAGGGGAAGTGATGGATGAGTGGCTGGCCGCGGCACATTCCAGGCTGCTTCCCACCCGCTCCACCCAGCCTGGAAAGCGGCTTGCTCTCCCGGCCCGTTAGTGACATTTCGCTGGGAACTGGATGCGCCGTCTGGGAAAGGCACGGCCTCTCACATGGGCCCTGGGGAGCAGCCTCCAGGGTCTGGGAATTTTCTTTTTTTCTTTTTTTGAAACAGAGTCTCACTCTGTTGTCCAGGCTAGAGTGCAGTGGCACAAATTCAGCTCATGGCAACCTCTGCCTCCCAGGCTAAAGCAATTCTCAGGCCTCAGTCTCCTCTAAGTAGCTGAGTTTATAGGCACGCACCGCCACGCTCGGCTAAGTTTTGTATTTTTAGTAGATGAAGTTTCGCTACGTTGGCCAGGCTGACCCCAAACTCCTGACCTCAAGTGGTCTGCCCACCTCGGCCTCCCCGAGTGCTGGGATGACAGGTGTGAGTCACCACGTCCAGTAGGTCTGGGAATTTTCTCGATGAGTGGGAGCTTGGGAGGCAGATGAGGCTGCAGCCAGGGCTGGGGGAGGAGCCGGCACCCTCTCCCTGTCTTCTTCCTTTAGGCATCTTTGACCAGCTCCTGCATGCCCAGACCCTTTGGGGAAACCACACAGAGGGAAACCCAACATCAGGGCAGACTCAGGTGTGCCCAGAGAGGGGCGCATTGCACCCGGAGCCAGTGCCTGAGCCATCGAGAGTGGGAAGGACAGGCAAAGCCCCTGCTCTGGGGTGGGGGGGACAGACAACTAGGAGATGCCACCATCAGCCATGGGCAGGGAGAGTGAGGACACTTGGCAGCGGCCCAAGCCACAGAGGGAGGCCAGGAGGGCAGGTGCCTCCCCTCGGGGTTACCAGGCTGCAGGTGCCCTCTGTGGCCAGTGGAGAAGGGGCAGCTGGGCCAGGTCACCCAGATCCACACCTGGCTCTGCCCCTCCTCAGCCTCTCTGTGCCTCTGTTTCCCCACTCGTAAGATGAAGAAGCGCGGGCTGTCCCTCAGGGCCGCAGAAGAATCCGTGAGGACAGGGTTGGTGCTCTGTGTGAGATCCTTCCCCTCTGGGCGTCAGAGCCCTCCTCATCAGACTCCGCACCCACTGCCCACCTGCCTCTGAGCCAGCGCCGTAGGGAAGGGCTGGGACCCAGATTGACCCCACCAGCCCCAGCAAGAGACCTCAGTGCTATTCGGAGCCAGGGAGGGATTAGGACACTTGTGTAGGCCCCGGGAGGACAGCCAGGGTGGGGACAGCAGGTGCCCTGGAGACCCCCTTGTGCTGGGCGGCCAGGCCTCGGGTCCCTTCCCCAAATTCCATGCTTTCTTCTGCACACGCAGCGCTGGGCCTCGGGGGCTGTTAGAAAATACATGGGGGTGTCACTGGGGACTGGGGTCCCCTTGCAGCTGACGTAGGGTTCAGGGATGCTGGAGGCCTTGTTTCTGTTTCATGGGTGCTTCGAGCTTTGGAAAGAAAACCCCTTGGGGTTTGAAAGATGGTCCTTAAGCTCACGCCTCAGAGCCGGCCACCCCAGGCGCTACCCCAGATTCCGTATGGCGACAGACCACCCACCCCAGCCTCAAGTACAAGTCAGTGTCCCTTCGGCCCACATGACACCCACAGGGCCACACGTCCCAGCATGGGGCTGGATGCCTGGGCTGCCCCCATGAGGCTGAGTCAGGGTCCAGGCTGGCTGGCATCGGGACCATTTCATCTCCTGATGGCTGCCATGTGCAGCCTAAGGGTGGCCAATGGGGGCTCCAGGCACAGGCCCTGGTGCTTCTGGGCTCTGAGACCCAGAACAAGTCACTCGCCCTCTCTGGGCCTCAGTTCCCCGTCTAGAAAGTGGGTGTAGTGACGGGGCCCGCCTCATGGGGCAGCAGGTAGACGATGCTGAGAACAGACCGAGGGTGCCAGGTTCCTCCGTGATGGTAGCCCTTCCTGCCACTTCTGTATTCTACCTTGAGATACAAGCCCCTTCAGACAGAGACGGCCCCTTTCCTGGTGCTGCTGAGCCCCCACGGTTGCCTGAGGGCCATTGCACCAGGACACTGGGGTCTACTAGGAAGCACAAGGGGCTCTGTGTGGTTTTATTTTTCCAAGTGGTTTGATGACTTCATTCACCTGTGTGTGTCTGGACAGGGCCTTCTTGCAGATGGAGCGGGGAGCGGGGAGCGGGGAGCAGGGAGCAGGGCCAGCAAGTGGTCTTGTGTCGAGGGGATGCGGCTAGGCCTCTTCCTGTGTGGTTCACAGCCACAGACTGGTAGCCCACAGGGCCTCCGAGCCTCGAAGTGGGTCTGTAGAAATGGCCCTTGGCTGAGGTGCAGGGCCTCAAAGGGGAATGAGGTGGGGAGCCAGGCGCCCAGGAAGGACGAGGCCGCCCCTGTCTAGCGGTGCCTTAGCCTGGAGAGGAGCCTGCAGTTGGCCTTGGTGGAGCTGTGGGCCAGTGGGAGGCTCCAGAGACTCCCCACACTGCTTGCAAGTGCAGGGATGGAGGAGGATAATAATTAATAACGATCGCAGAGTGCTGGACACCCCTGCTGCGCACGGCTTCATCTCCATCCCCTTTGAAGAGGCAAGGAAATGGGCAGAGAAGCTGTGGGTTGTCCGAGGAAGCCAGGCCAGCAGGACTCAGCCTCCCTCTGTGACTGTGGGGTGGACCCACCGTGCCTCCCTGCCCCCCTGCCCAGCCAGCGCCAAGGAGATGGGTATCCAGGGCATCCATGGGTCCCCTGCCCTGAGCAGCCAGCCCCCAATGTCTGCAGAAAGCGCCTGTCCTGTGACTGGACAGCCCAGCCCCTCCCACCTGCTGCCCCACCCCCCTCAGCCCCGCCTGCCCTCAGCCCCGCCCCTGAGCATGGCGCTCCAGTCACCCCACTTCACTCTCTGCTCCATTCTAGCCCCTTAGCGGGGGGACCCCAAAGAGGCATTTCCCTTGAGGGACTTCCTTTGGAGGCTACCCTGGGCGAGCTGCGTCCTGGGGGACCCAGTCAAGCACAGAGACCCTGCAAACAGGTCGAACAAGAGGCAGGACCACCCAGAGTGGGGTGACATCCTGGGGACTGAACGGGGAAGGGTGAAAGAGCTTCGCGGGGGGCGGGGCAGCCTCTCCTGGGGAAGTGAGGTTGAAGCTGAATCCCAGAGGGAACAAGGGGCGGTCGAGGATCATGCGTGGCCCTGAGCCGGGCATGGGGGTGGGGCGAGCAGGGAAATGGGTGTCATGGAGCGGGTGTGGGCTGGTGAAGCCCCATCTACAGCGGAAGCTGCTGAAGGGTCTTAAGCAGGAGAGAGACGATGTGCCCCCAGAGATGGCCCCGGCTGCTGCTGTGCAGACCTCCCGACTCCCTGCTGCCTGCACCCCCACCCCCTCCTTCCCAGGTCCCTCCCGCACCCCCACCCCCCTCCTTCCCAGGTCCCTCATGCACCCCCACCGCCTTTCCTTCCCAAGTCCCTCCACAGGTCCTGGTCAACTCCCAGGCTGTTCTCTTGGTCACAAATGCTGTTCCTCTACCTCTCCCCACTCACCCCTCATCTTCTCTGAGGGTCCTTGTCACTTCCTGCTTTCTCGGGTGGAGTCTGCGCCAGGGCAGCCCCAGGAGCAGGTCCCGGCCACAAGTTGCTCCATGAACCGTGGCCTGGTTTTCTTGAGTGCCAGGCAGGGCGTGGGGACCTCCCCTTCCTCATCTGTCACCTGGCTTCCTCCACATGTACAGAGGAGGAGAGTGGGGCTCAGAGAGGGGAAGAGGCTCTCCCTAGGCCACACGGCCAGGAGCACTCAAACAGGATTCAACAGACACCCGTGAGGTCCCGTCATCTGCACAGCTGCCCCTGCACAACCCAGGGTGGAGCTGGAGAACGGCGGGGAGGACACCACCAGCTCCCCAGCGTGTTCCTCAGGCACGGGGCCTCCTGCCCCTGCAGCCTCCGTTCGACCTCAGGTTTGAATCCCAGACCTGCTGCCTGTTTTCAGTACCCCGGGCCCTAAAAGGAGGCGAGCATGTTGATGACAAGCAGGAACTTTGGAGTCCTGAAGAGCCCTGGCCCTGTGGGGGCAACACCAGGTTGTGGCTCAGATCCCGGCACGCGGCACACTCGCCGTGTGACCTTGGGTAGATGACTTCACCTCTCCGAGCCTGGTCCCTCCTGGTAAAATGGGCTGATGGTAGCATCGGCCGCAGAGGGTCTCCGTGAGGATGAATGACTCATCAGTATCTGTAGAGCACTGAGAAGGGGCTCCCTGCAGTGAGTCGCTATCCAAGTCTCTGAAGTAAAAGGACAGGCCCCTGTTCTGCCCAAAGGGAACCACACGAAGTCCCCGACTGCTCCGGGTGCCGGCAGGGTACTGTCTGTTCTGGCTTCGGGATCCAGAGTGTCGCGAGCACGCAGGTGGTGGCCATAAGCCCTTGTTGGATGATGGCTGTGGCAACTCCTTGCGCCGTGGCATGATGGCCCAGAGGTCTCCTGGCCACCCTCTCCACCTTAGGAAATGTGGCATGTCCGTCCATCGTATGAGTGCCCGTCCAGCGCCCGGCGCCCGGCGCCAGCTCCTCAGTGGGGCTCTCTGCATCCATTTCTGTTTTATTCGAGTATCGTGGCTCAAATGTAGCCGCCTCCGTGGGAGGGCTTTGGAAAGTCCAGACAGGGCGTCCCCAGTGTCCTGGACCCGTGTCCCCAGAGCCAGCCTGGCGTTTGAAGCTCTTGGCCCCATCCCTGCCTGCTCCCTTCTGGGTGTGCCCAACCCACGCTGGCCCAAGGGCAGCCTGGTCTGGATGGGCTGCACCCCACAGGATGCCGCGCCACGTTCGCCTTCTTTGGATGTCACCAGGGACTGGCCACCGGCCCTGCAGCCAGGCGGTGTTGACGGCCCCCACAGCTGTGGCCGCACGTGTGCCCAGCCATCAGCCTCCTGACAGGCGGGTGGCCAGGAGGGGCAGGGCGCCCTGCGGGAGGGAGGCCAGCGGCTGTGCGGAGGGGACAGCAGGTGCCGAGAGGCCTGGGTGGCTGTTTACTGGCTGCTTCCTCCCCCACCATTCCCCACAGCAGACAGGGGGCTGCTCCACTCCTGCCTGGAGCACCAGGGGCTGGTTAGAGCCCAGGCGCCGCGGCCCTGAGATGTTGGGCAGGACCTCAGCACCTCTGAACTTCTCTGCTCTTCTGTGAAAGGGGCAGGCGGCGAGAGGATCAGGCGAGGTTGGCACTGTATTTGGCACGTGATAACTGCAGAAGTCATTTATCCGTCATCTTCCAGAGACCGCGTGGCCCTGGCCCCGGCTGGATCTCTCCGTCTGACAGTGGGGCTGGGACCCCGGGAATGGGGAACGGGCAGAAGCAGGGGTAGCGCCCACGGTTCACTAATAAAATGACAGACACCAGCCCCCAACTGTGGCCTCACCTGCTTCATGCCCCGGGCCGTGGGCAAGACCCACAAGTGTTAGCAGGAGGAGGCTGCAGGGCAGTCCAGGTTTTAGCAGGTAGAGGATGCCCTCCTTGCTGCTCTAAGCCGCTGAGGCCCCTGAAATCTCAGCCACGGATCCCAGGTCTTTCTGCCTTGCCTTGGCACTGGCTGACCTTGACTTAAGATGAATGGGGAGGCCCAGTGGCTTACACCCGCACCCCCTGCAGAAAATGCTGCAGACAGGGTGCTGGCTTGGCCTCCTGGTGTCTCGGGCAGGTCTGTGCTGCAGGCCCTTCAGTTAACCTGGAAGCCTTTTCTGCAGGCCCTGCTCTCTGGATAGTGCAGAGGGGCTCAGTGACCACCAGTCCTGCCCACCAGCGCCTTGAGCATTTTCCCACCCTCCCCGCACACAGCTGGCCCTGGGCAGAGCTGCTCAGACTTCAGGGAGCCTCAGACCACGCGAGAAGCTTGTTCAGCTGCAGGTTCTGATTAATCAAGTGTCCTGGCATTACCACCTGCCAGTGGGCGGCGCTCAGCGTGCCCAGGCCTCGGCCATCCCGAAATCAACGCTTCCTCTGCCTGCTGGTGGCCGTGCTCAGCGTGGCCAGGCCTCAGCCATCCTGAAGTCAACGCCACCTCTGTCTTGGCTGTCCTATGAATCACCGGGGCAGAAGATGGTGAAAATGGAGGTTTTGCCGCCCTAGGTGGCCTGCCTGCCGGGCTTTCCCTGGGCATACACTGCCCGCTCTCCTGCCCCAGCCCAGGGAAGCCTGTTAGCATCGGAAAGTGGAAGAGACTCCTAGAACTATGGCGTCTGGGGCCCGGACCAGCAGCAGCCCCACCTGGGAACATGTTGGCAATGCAGGTTCTGGGTCCCAGCCTGACCTGCTGAATCAGAACTGGGGGGAGAGGCTGCAGTCTGTCTGAACACCCCCTGGGGGATGCTTATGGAGGCGGGAGCATGGCACCACTGCCTCAGGGCACTGCCCCCTCCTGGTCTGTAGAAGCCTCAAACCTGGAGTGGGGTGTGGCTCTCCCAGGGCCACCACACACCGAGGGCCCCAGCTCCAGCGTGGCTGGCCACCTGAGATGAGCTGGCCCAAGCCCCTCCTCCGGCCTGGTTCCGCCCCCGAGATCACCTGCAGGTGGGACGTCAGCCACCTGTCAGGGCACCTGGGGCAGGCTGCCCCAGCGCTGGGCAGCCACTTGGTGGGGCCTTGGCTGGGAACCGTGGGGCTGTGGGCACCGGCCTCTGTACTTAGCCCGCTTCACCCACTCTCTCTTTCTCCTTTGGTTGCAGCCCCTGCGGACAGGAAGGCTAAGGCCTCAGCAATGCCGGACTCCCCAGCGGAGGTGAAGACGCAGCCCCGGTCCACACCCCCCAGCATGCCGCCCCCACCACCTGCCGCGTCCCAGGGGGCCACACGCCCCCCCTCCTTCACGCCACACACATGTAAGTAGCCCCCGGCGGCCAGGTGTTTCAGGGGAGCCCCTCGTGTTGTGTGAAATTCCGAGCTTCCTGCCCAGAGCCGGTGGGCACCTGCTGTGAGCCCTGAGTGTGAGGAGCTCACGTGGCATGGCCCAGAGCCCAAGCTTGGCAGGTTCAAATCCCAGCTTCCCTGCTTCCCACTGTGTAGCTCTGGGCCAGGTCCTTGCCCTCTGGGGGCTTGAACTTCCTCTTCTGCGGTGCAAGTCCTCCCAGGGCTGTGGTGGGGCCAGGTGAGTCCACACAGGCCTTCACCAGGGCCAGCCGTGGGCCTTGGGTCAAAGCCGGCCGCTGTGCCTCAGGCTTCCTGCCTCATTGGCAGGCCCAGGGATGCCAGGCTCATCCAGAGGGAATGTGGAACTCGGATAGAGTCAGGGGCTTCCCCAGGGTCACACAGCAGGTCACCTGTGTACAGGCCCCCTGGAGGGACCGCAGGAGCGGCTCTGGCCTTGGAGGGGCTCGGCAGGAGCTCGGCAGCCCGGCTGAGCACGGGGGCCACGGTGGGGGCCTCAGCACAGGAGGCCAGAAGGGCGGGACCTCGAGAAGCTCCCAGGCCTTATCTTGCTGGCCCTGGGCAAGGGGTTGGCCATGCTTGGCGCACAGAGCCGCCGAGGGTGGGCCCTGGGGGGCTGTGGGGCAGCGAGCAGCCAGTTCTCATCGCAGTCAACCCCGAGGCTTGGCTTTGAGGACAGAATTGGTGCTCTGTGGCCCAGTTGCTGGGCCGGCGGGGTGGGCAGCGTCCCTGCCCCTCAAGGCCGGGGACTCAGGAGTGCATCTCAGTGTCTGCAGGCGTGGAGACTCCGTGTACCCCCGTCACGTTCAGAGGCCAGAAAGCTCTGAAACTCAAATGAAGCCCCTCTCTGTGGGAGGAGCCTGAGACTTCTGTCGCGCCGGCCCCGGGTCCCCCACAGGCCAGGAAGAGCTGCTTCCTCAGTCCCTTTGTGTCACCACTGTCCACAGAGCACCAGGCGGCTATGGGCCAGGCCTGGCTCCCTCCCTGGCTCTGCCCCTGAGGCTTGGGGTCTGCTCCGCCGAGGGCTTTGGCCGTCATCTCCCCTGCATCTGGAAAGAGCACTGGCTGTGGGCTCAGGCAGCAGACTTGCGGCCCTGTTTGTGGGATGCTGGCTCCGAGTCAGCCTCCTGACTTGGTTGGGGAATGGGGTGACCCAGCAATGGGGTGCCCCCAGGTGTGCCGCCCAGAGGCAGGTATAGCTGGAAATGTGCCCAGCACTCAATAGGAGCCAAACAGCCTAACACCCATTCCCTGCACCCACGGGGCCTCCACGTGTCATGGAGCCCATACTGGGGGCCAGCCCTGCCTCCGACAGTCGGGATGCCACACTCACGATTCTGCAGGTCCTGGAGGATGGCAGGCCCAGCATGCAGGTCTTGGCTCTGCGGAGCTGGCCACAGTTTCCAGTGAGAGGTTGGCTGGGCTTTTTCTCACATGTGCTTGTCACACGGCGATGTGGCTGGGCTGGGATCACCCTTCCCTCTCTTCCGGAAGAGCCCTCCCGTCTGGTACGAACCACAGGCCGTGTCTTTCCACCAGGCAGCTTGTGACCACACCGAGCCCGCATAGGTAGAGAGGGGAGACCACTGGTGTGTTGAATTCGCAGCGCACCCCAGCCCGGGGGGAGGAAATGCTCAGGACGGACCACAGGAGACCCGGCCATGGGTGCAGTGCCTAAAACGCCCAGTCCACAACCCTCAGGCCCCAGTGTCAGGGACAAACGCCGTGGGCTGAGCCTGGTTCCCCAGACCCTCAAGGGTGCGTCTCCCTGACCTGCTCCTCCCCGGGCACCAGCAGCCTCTGCTTCGAAGGTGCCGGTCTGGGGACCCGATGCTCCCGGCTGGGGGTGGGGTGGGATCAGCGGAGCCTCAGGCTCTGCTTCCGGAGACCTGGGAACACTTGTGAGGGCAGCCGGCATGCCTGGGGCTGGGGTCCTTCCCGCCCCCTCCGCTCTCAGCACACCTTGGGGTCAGGTTTCTGGGGTGAGGTCCCAGCTGGTTTAAGGAGCGTGAAGGTTATGCAAGAGAGAAGCAGGTGCTTTTTCTTTTCTAAGCCGACGCTTCAGTCCCACCGGGCTGTCAGGAGCATCAGTCTGAGGCTCTGGCTGCCCCTGAGGTGGCCTCGGATTCATCCCCTAATCCACACAATTCCCTGAGAGCCAGGTGGTTGGCTGCACCCCTGGGGGCCACAGCTCGGCGGCAGAGCCCTGCCGGGAGGCTCCTCCCCGGGGACTGGCCTCTGAGCCAAGCTGATGGGAGACCGAGCTTGAACGGAGACTTGAGGGCTGAAGCTGTTCTTGCCCAGTGACTGCCCTGGGCACAAATTCATCTTGGAGTTGAAGCTGCGGTGCTGCTGCGGGGGTGGGGGGGAGGGGGGAGGACTATAACGAGCAGGGACCCAGACCAAGCTCCTCTAAAGCTGGCAGGACTCTTAAAGGGCTTTACCCTGCCCTTGATTACCCCCATGACGGAGAACTTACTACCTGTTTACAGAGCTCCAGCCTGTCTTCCTGTGGGCTTCGCCGCTAACTTCAGCTCGGACAAATTCAATCTTTCTTCATTTATCTAGCAGAGATGGGGACTCCCTACGTCACCCAGGCTGGTCTTGACCCCCTGGGCTCAAGCTCTCCTCCCACCCCAGCCTCCCGAAGTGCTGGGATTACAGGCGTGAGCCACCGCGCCCGGCCCAATCTTTCTTCCTGTTTGGTGCTTCCTCCTCCAGCGCTGACCCAGGGCTTTGTTTGAGACGCCAAGTCTCAGATCACTTTTAGGACACGCAGCTTCGGCCCAGGCCCCTGAGGATGGTGCTGATGGGGTCACAGGTGCCTTCTGGGAAGAGGATGTTGAAAACGAGGGGCCCCGCCCCTGCTCATAGAGAAGCCTTGGTTCTTGTAGACTCTGGAACGGTCCTGTCAAAAATGGCCCTTAGGGATCATCCACTCTCAGAGAAGGAAACTGAGGCCCAGAGAGCGGAGCGGCCTGGCCCCCGGTGGTGACAAGCCCCATCCAGAAAATCGCTCTGTGAAGCAGGAAAAGGCGGCCCTGGGTGCCCCTGAGGGCGGAGTCTCCTGCTCACGCCCCCACCGAAAATCGCTCTGAGAAGTAAAATCGCTCTGAGAAGTAGGAAAAGGCGGCTGCGGGCGCCCCGAGGGCGGAGTCTCCTGCCCACGCCCCTCCTGACAGCGTGTTCTTCTTATTTTGCTTACAGATCGAGAGGACGGGCCTGTGACGCTGCCCCACGGCCGTTTTCATGGCTGCTTAAAATGGTCTATGGTCTGTCTCTGTAAGTAAAATAACAAAAACCGCAGGCCTCCCGGGAGGTCTTCACCGCAGCACCCTCTGTGGGCCCAGCGCTGCTGCCCTGGGGGTGCTCGGCACTCCTCCGCGGCCTCCACACCCTCAGCATTGCCTCTGTCGTGTTGGTCCTGCCTCCTTCAGGAGAAGAGGGCGCAGGAGGGCAGAGCCGCAGGGTCCCTGCATCCCACAGACCCTCCGCTCCAAGCTGTGGGGCTTCAGGCAGGAGCAGGGCCTCTCTGAGCTTTCCCTCCCCAGCAGCAAAACGTGGCCAGTGGGACTGACTGTGAGTGCCCAGGGAAGGGGCGTGACACTGTCCCTGGCAGGCCTGGAGCTCAGCCACGTCTGCTAGGACAGACCCCACCTACCTGGAGTCCCAGCTGCACCTCTTCCTGCCAGGGTGACCTTGACCAAGTGCCACACCCCATGCCTCAGTTTCCCCACCTGTAAAATGGAAGTCATCATGGGCCCTGGTGCCAGGGGTGGTCTCCAGGAGCTGTGAGATGGTGGGGCCGGGCACGCGCTGGGCGCTCAGCAGACTTGAGTCTCCAGCAGACGTTTGCGTCGACAGGCGTGGCCCATGGCAGGCGTTCAGGGAGCACGGGCTCTTACCAGGCGGTGTTTAGAGTTTCTCTCAGCCGGTGAGTGCAGTCATGCTTGAGCCCATCAGACAGACTCCGGTCCCTCACTACCAGCCAGCCTGGCAGTACGGCCCAGGTGTGGCTGCCGCGTCACTCCCAGCTCTAAGAATGAGGGTGGCAGAACAACTGTGCGTTGTTTCTGTTGCACGGGGCTGTCCTTGTCACAGCCGTTATTCTGTGATGGGCCTGGCCGTGCACCCACGCCTGGCATGCAGCTCCGGCACAGTGGCTGTTGTCACCCACTGTGTGATCTTATGGATGGAAAAGACGGTGAATCCCAGCCCTGGAGCCCCCACAACAAGGAGCAGGGGTGGCAGGAGGGGCTGCCTTAGGGCGCCTCTGTCCCATCTGACCCCCCCACCAAGGCTCTGAGGCTGGGGGAGCCGCGGGGGTGCTCGTGTGTGCCCCCAAACCTCAGCTGGGGACACGTGTGCAGTCTAACTTAGTAACACACCTGTTGCGGGAATGAAAGCACTTGTGCCGGGGTTATTTTCGGCGTCTCTTTAGCTGCTGAGACTGCCCGGCAGCGCGGGAGGGAGTGCGCGGGCAGGCGAGGGCGAGCAGGCCGCTGGAAGGACCGGGCACCCAGGGCAAGGCTGGTAAGCGCACCTAAGGGAGGGCCAGGCCCAAACCGGCCGGGGCGGTGGGCAGGGGCCCAGGCGTGCACCGTGGCAGTCTGAGAAGCCACTGGAAGGTCCACAAAGTCCTGGTGACAGTCCTGTGTGTCCTGGAGAAACCAGCCTCCCACTGTGGTGAGGTCTCCCATGGTGACGGGCCATCTCCTGGCCTGGCTGGGTGACCGCAAGTGGCTATCTTCAGTCTTGACGGGGTGTGTGTGTGTCAGAGTCCAC